TACTCTTTAAAAAACAATAAAATAAAATAAAACGCGCACGTACCTTCGGTCCCCAGCGCGGGTTCCCGCAGCTGTCACCTCTGAGGGCAGAGCTGTTGTTTCTGACTGCCTTTTCCTCCCTGTGTTCCAGCCTCTGCTGCCAGTGCGGCGTGCCCATCCCGCCCAACCCGGCCAACATGTGCGTGGGGTGCCTGCGGGCGCAGGTGGACATCACCGAGGGCATCCCCAAGCAGGGCACCCTCCATTTCTGCAAGCAGTGCGAAAGGTGGGCGCTCCCCGCTCCCTCCCCTCCGGCCGAAGCCCGCTCCTGAGGGGGAGACGGGCCCTCTCCCTGTGGTCGCCGCGGCTGGCAAGCCGGGCAAGCGTACACCGGGGGTGCGTGGTTTTGTCAGGTCTCTGATGATGTTTCCAGCACATTCCTGTATTTCTTTTCCTGTGGAAGCGGAAAAGTGCTGGTACGTAGGGCCTAGAGGATTGAAATGGGTGAGTTTGTGGTCCCTGAAAGAAAAAAGCAGGCAAATTGGTAAAGGTGGCAGTAGAAGCGTGAGTGCGCTTGGAACGCGTGAATCTTAACGCTTAGGGAGGCAAAAATTGTAGCTGCATAGTTAAAACGGAAAGCTTGTTAAATAACAGCTCAGCTTTTGAGGGATTCGGTTTGCTGAAGCCGCTTCCATGTGCTGTAAAATGCTTCCTGTGTCATAGGTATCTTCAGCCTCCAGGAACCTGGATTCAGTGTACCTTAGAATCAAGAGAGCTGCTCGCTTTGTGTCTTAAAAAAATCAAAGCTTCGCTGAGCAGGGTGAGTAGCTCGTTCTGTTGGTGTTTCGTAGCGTGTCTGTTGGTATCGCATGAGGCCCAGCTAATTGCTGCAGGGTTTGATCCTGCCAGAGCAGCCGTTTGCACTTGTGTAGAGCTTATCAACTGATTTATATTAAACACAGAGAACAACAACCTGATCTCAAATAACTCTATGCTAGAATTTTGGAGGATTCGGTAAGGACAGGCTCTAACAAAAACTTTCCAAGCATACCAAGGAGGCTGTCGCCGTGCAATTCCGTGATTTCAAAGCATACAGTGTACTGCACAGTTGTTACCGCGTAGATGGGAGTTGACCATAATTAACTGAAGGAAGCTCCCATGTTTTTAATGCACCTTAATTTTACAGTTTTCTTTTTACACATTTTTAAAATCGTTTATACAATGCTTGTTCTTACTGGTTTATGACAATATGAAAGAGGGTTGCAGCGATGACAATATGAAAGAGGGTTGCAGCGGTCTATGTGTAGATTAAATTGAAAGTCGCATGTTTAAGTTGAATAAAGTATCTCCTAGGTTCAGAATCTTACCAGAGGAAAAAATCTGAGATAGTGTTTTAGGCAAAAAAATTGGTTTGTTACCACAGCCATCAAGGTTTGAATTAGATTGCCTTATTGAGCTTCTTGCTACTGGGTTAGTACTTAAATATACAAAATACCTTTTGCTGCAGCGAATTTGCATGTTCTTAGTTTTAGAGATTAAATTGGCTTTTAAGTCCTGAGGAAACCATTACACTGTCCAAATTCATCATTGCATGGCATCCAGAGATACTGTTGAATAGTGTATTTGGTTACTCTGGTGTGACAGTCTGAGGTTGCATCTCCATTATTTTAGGTAGATCAGACTCTGTGTTCTAACTAAGTATTATTAATTGGGTTTGGTATAGCAATATATATGTTTTTAATTAAGGTTATTCGCTTCCGCACTTGGTTGAGGAACAAGGGACCATACCATAAGCTTGTGTTTTCTGGTAGTTAGAGCTGGGTGTTTTTAACACGTGTACTCGTACAACTGCTGGCCGTAGTAGCTGAGGTCTTGTTCTTTCCCACTGGCAGGTCCGGCTGATTGATGCAGGCTTTATTTGGACTGAACCACATTCTAAGAGGCTGAAGCTAAAACTGACTGTTCAGAAAGAGGTAACTGGAGTATAGTATTCTGTGTGTGGCTTTTAAAAAGCTTTTGTGTCAAACAGTATGGGATTTTTTTGGTTTTGGTTTTGGGTTTTTTTTTTTTTTTAATTATTATATTTTAGGTAAGTGGTTCTCTTTACCAAAGTCCAGCATGTGTTTACAGGCTTATCCTGAAAGAATATTGATTTCATCCTGCCTAAATTTTGTCATTAAAGTGCCATTCATCACAGTTTGAAGAAGGTTATTGGCTGTTCCAGTAAAGTTGGGAAAATACTGCTAACATTTGTGACCTGAATATAGCTGTCTGTCACACAGGTTTAGTATAGTATGGAAGTTATTTCAGAATGCTGTGGTAAACTAGGTTTCTGTCTTGACAGGACTAACGAGGAAACCTTTTAAACTTTTGTTTTGCAGGTGATAAATGGAGCCGTTCTTCAGCAAGTATTTGTGGTGGAATATATGGTTCAGTCTCAAATGTGTGAAGACTGTCATAGGATTGAAGCTAAGGATTTCTGGAAAGCTGTAGTGCAAGTCAGACAAAAGGTAGAGGCAAAATGAATTTTCATTTGTCCATGGCAGAACAATCAGGCGGACAAATCTCTGGATTTTTTTTTTTTTTTTCTCAGAAAAAGATGTACTCACACTTGCACACTGCCACAGTAATACGTTTTGTGTTCACATTGGGTTTTTTTCTTACTGATCTTTGTTTAGAAAAACTTTCTGTCTGCTGTCCAGTATTATTAGCATATTCTTTTTAGATGATGTCTGGCAGGAGGATCTTGTGTGAATTACTAAATATGTTTCTGTATTTTAAGGCAGTGTTAGAAGCGGTGGTACAGATTGTTTATAAATATTTAAATCTTCTTTAAAGACAATGGTGTCTTTAGCAATCAGTTACACAAGAATGAGAAACAGAAGCTTTAAATAATTTGGTATAAATAGAGCGCATCTCTCAAATCTTTTTGGTTAGTTGGAATAGGCTTTGGGCTGTTCCTTCTCTAGATGATCTCTTCATATAAATGTTTATTCTTCAGAGATAATGCACGTGCACTAGACGGTTCTTAAATGACCGTGATAATTTTATATTTGTGTGGTTTTAGACTCTGCACAAGAAGACTTTCTACTATTTGGAGCAGCTGATTTTAAAACACAGGCTTCACCAAAATACGCTTCGCATCAAAGAAATCCATGGTAAGTGAGGTGGCTTGTTAGTCTTGAGGTAGAATAGACTAACCTGGTTTATGTTGGAAGAGTGCTTGTGCTAGTAGCTTTGTACAGAGGAGCAGCAGATTACTTACCCTATGTATTGTATTGGAAAAAAACCATAGTACTTGATATATTGATCAAGCTTTCTTTTCTTTAAGATGGTCTGGATTTTTATTATTCTTCAAAGCAACAGGCCCAGAAGATGGTTGACTTTCTTCAGTGTACAGTTCCATCTAGGTATATCATTTACATTTATTGCCTTGTATACTCAAAAGCTTTTGGGAAATGTCTTTGATCCTTCATTTTTAAAGAATTTTGTAAGTGAAAGTGTAAGGAACCTGCATTCTAGTTAAAACAGACAAAATCTTTCCTACAGAAGTCCCATGCTTTCCACTTAGTCATTGTAAAACTAACCCTCATGCATTTTTCCATTTGCTTAATTTTTGTATTTGTAGTATGTAGCTGTATACTTTCATTGCTGTACTTTGTGCTGATGAACTCCTGTTTTGAGTGATGTCCTTCTTTCTGCCTGAAGGCTCTACTTTTATCTTTTATAGATCAAAATCATCCCAACGTTTGATCTCGCATGACATTCATAGTAACGTCTACAATTACAAAAGCACTTTCTCTGTGGAAATTGTTCCAATATGCAAGGTAGCATCTCTCTATTTTATCTTCAGGGTATTGTATGAAGTGGCTAGAGTTTGGTTTTGGTGATGGAGGCCTGGTTTATTGTGTGTTTGGGGGGATGGAGGGGTCTACTCCCCATGAAGCATGGAGAGTGCAGATAGTAGCTATCTTGAGGAAGCTACTGGGTGATATTGGGTGGAGAACTGAAAAGAAAAAGTTTAAAAATCTGTTTCAGATTTCTCTAAATACTTGATTAAAAACTAAGGCAATATGAGTGTAAATTATTTTCTGTTTGTATGCAGGACAATGTTGTATGTCTGTCACCAAAACTGGCGCAGAGTCTTGGCAACATGAGCCAGATCTGTGTGTGCATTAGAGTCACAAGTACCATCCACCTCATCGATCCTAGCACGCTGCAGAGTAAGTTACAGGTTCTTTTCTGCACTGTGGCAGCATCTGATTTTTCTGCTGGCACAATTTTTTTTTTTTCTTTTTCATGAAATCTTCTCTTTTTAGGCCGTAATGTTGTAAATGTATCTATACAGTCACTGACAGCGAACTAAGACATAGTTCTCTAAGCTTAATTTCCGTAGTTTCCTAATCAAAATGTGCAGGGTCACTGTTAAGTTCATGGACGTTCTAGGTCTCTGCTAAGCACTTATATTTGTCAGGTGTATTCCTCTAAAATTAGATGGCATCTAGTTTTTCTCTGGATTACGATTCTAGCCACTTTGGTACCAGAAGCACTGTGCTTTGATTGGTATTTGCTGGTAAGCTCTACCAGCAAAATGCCTCTAATAAGGATACATCCAGGAGAATGATTCTTGGGAATAAAGAGGTCAGTGCTTTAGGCACGTGATATGTGATTTGGCTGCCACAGGTCAACTGCTCGTCACGCAAGTTTGCAGTACAGGTCATGTCCGAAATGCACGTGTTGCAATAACAAACTTGAATAAAATGCATTTGGCAGTTGCCTTAATTTTGGCAAATGCTTCCTTTTCCTTTTAATTTCTTCGCAAGAAATTCTCTCCCTTTTGATTGCCCATCCTGGTGTTTTTTTTTTCCAGTTGCTGAAATTGATGGAAATACCTACTGGCGCCACCCATTCAATAGCTTGTTCCACCCAAAACAACTAGAGGAATTTATCATTATGGATATCAATAGGGTTCAAGGAAAGAAAAAAGGTGCAGGTGCAGGGGCAAGATCAAACAAGGTAAGAGCTCCTCTCTATTTGATTCAAGGTTTGGGCTTTCCTCTCCCCTCCTTCCCCTACTCCGCTGAACTTCAATTTTGAATCATTCTACCCTGCAAAGTCAGATGTCCGCTTTTCTGTGTCTTGCCACTGGCAAAAGCTCTTCTCAGGAAGATGCAGACAGTGTTTGGTTAGAAATTGCACAGGTATTATGTGAATTCCACTTTCAGAAATTCTTTCTGTTGATGAATTTAAACTCTACTTGTTACAGTGGTTATTGAAATTATTTTGTGTTAGCTTTGCAATTTGTGAATTATAAATTGTTTTTGTTGAAGTATAGAAGCATTTCTTGTTAATCAGAATTAATGAATCGGTACCAAACATTTTCTGCTCAGTCAAAAGCTATATGTGGTTGAAAGTTATGAAGTAAAAAAAGCTGCACCAAAGCACATGTCTAGTTATAGAAACAGCCTTCCTGGAATTCTTGTGAAAAGTGGTTGGCGTGTCCATTTCCTTACTTTTGTAAAGATGAGAAATGAGGAGTAGCAAGCAATACATCAGATGCTCAATGTAGAAATACAAGTTTAATTACAAATGTAATTTAAACTGTTCTAATAGCACAGCAAGTTAAGCTGCATTTGATTACAAGAGTGTTTTATGTTTCATTTCTCAAGCACACGCTGGCTGAAGCCTGGGTACAGAAGACATCGGAGTTGAACACGGATCATCAGTATTTCTGCTGTACTCACTTGGGGCACATTCTGAATCCTGGTGACCTTGTCTTGGGGTCTGTTCTGTTTCTTGGTTTTTATTAAATGATTATTTAATGCCTGAATTCTCTGGGTTCTCTACAGGCTTATGTATTATCAAGAAAGTTTTGAATTGTTCTGATTTCTAAATGAGACCAGCAAAAGAGATAGAATCTTTCGTCTTTACCATGAAGAGATGGTCCTAATACAGGAAACCTTTCTTTTAGCAGAAGTCATCTTGGGAAAGGGACTGTTAGTAATATGAGAGCTGAAGTATTGACTTTAGAGTGCAGGTTGGAACAACAGTTTAGACACAAATAGATGGGAGGGATTTTTAAAATACCAGGCAAGATCTTTTTGTTTGATACTGACTATCGTATGTGGCAATGACAAATAGGAAATTTTTGTAAGATTAGGCAAATGAGGTGATTCTCAAACAGGCATAGACATAAATTGTTATTGGAGCTGTTGAGACCAACAGAGCCTCAGTGGATGGATATTGCTGTTTGGGTGCAGGAGGCTGGGTAGTGCTGCTGAGCAGAATTTGGGAACAGCAGCTTTTTGTGGATTTTTGATTTGCTCTGTAGTTCGTGTGGAAACATTTATCTTTCTTAGGAGCTGTAACTTACACTGTGCTGCTCTTTAATACAAACACATGATACGCTGAGTTCAATTTTGTAGACTTACACAGAAGGGTAGGGTAAAATGCCTATTTTCATTTTAGATTCGACTTGGCGAACTGCAACTTAAATGACGAGTTTGCCAATAAGATGAACCCACACAATATTCCTGATGTGGTAAGCCTGTTTTCTTTCTCTGTGTTACCCAGGGGTGTTAGGGAATATGATTTTGTAATGAATACTCACTCGTTCCATAGTGCCAAAGAAAAGAGGGGATATTAATATTGAAATTTGAATAGCATCTAATTTTGAGAATTATTTTCTCACTACTTAAATTTTTGAGTGGTGGGTGGGTAATACATTAACTTACCTTACTCTTTGTTGGGTTTGTTCGAATTACCATGCCCTGTGTGGTGAAAACTGTATTACAACTCCAGTATGTGTTGCCTCTTCAGGACATAATCCAAAGTGTTTGGAAACTTTTGAGTTGGCAGACGCTATATAAATTCTATTTAAAACTTCTGAGTGCCAGACTGACTCTCCCCTTTGTTCAGCTGATTTTACAGTTGCCCAAATCTAGACTCGGGTGGAGTTTGGGGTTTTGAAAGAGTGTCATCAATAATAGTACTGAAGGTGTGTATGCGTAAATACTCACTGTTTCTCACCATAGGTATTAATAAAGAAGAGCTATGACCGTACCAAACGCCAGCGTCGCAGAAACTGGAAGCTGAAAGAGCTAGAAAGGGACAGAGAAGGCACGGATACAGATGATGAAAGGTTCGGTGTCTGCCTTGAAGCTTTTTCGTCCCTCCTACCTAGGATACTGTGCCAAGTATAGAAATGACATTTCTCAGTTTCTGCGGAGCATAAACCCAGGGCGATGCCTCAGCTGATGTGCTGACTGTTAGGGGGCACAAGCAAATGCTCTTGGTTCTGGTTGAGCGTGGTGCTGGCTCACAGGGCAGGTTGATAGCAGTGTTCTCTGAAGAGCATTAGCTCTCTGCGTTTTTCCCCCTTCCCTAGCGCAGGAGGTGCTTTAAGCATACGCACCGTATTTATAGTTACCTGGTTGTATGGTTAAACTGCTGAGTTTTCAGGGAACGTGGATACTGAGGACAACGGGCTAGGGGGATGTGGAAACAGACTGCATCCTGAAATCTTAAAGATAACACTGCAGGTTTTTCACGTTTACTGTTGCAAAATATAAAAACTGTTTTTATGGGTTTTCCAAAAAAAAAAGCTTAAATCATGAGACAGGTGAGTAATATCGAAAGCATTTTGTCTGCAGCTTACAGCCAGTGCCTGTCTAGCTAAAGGGACACTTGTGTGAAAGCGTGCTTGTCACTGGTTTGTTCAGTGGCAAAGCTGATAGAGCAACAGCAGACTCTAAATATTGTTCATTTGAGTAGAAAAAATGGGTTGATTAGAGTTAAATGAGGACAGGCAAATTTAAACAAATTCTTTGGAAATTAGTAGGTGATAATAAAAAAAAAAAAGGCTGACGGAGTTGGAAATGTAGGAATGCTATCAGAAGGCACGCCTGAAGGACTGTGGCTTGCGGTTCTTCCTCAGGGCTTTGTTTCTTTGATTTTATTTTGTTCTATAAATTTACATAAATTCACAGGAAAAGTGACTAAATACATTAAGCATCTTTTACAGACAATACCAGGACTTCCTTGAAGATCTCGAAGAAGACGAAGCCATAAGGAAGAATGTCAACATTTACAGAAGTAAGGCCTTTTTAACCATTTAATTGCACGTAACTCGATCATGACTATTTGAGCGGAAAATATTTTTACTGAAGTGCTCTATTTGGATTCTTTGAACTACTCATGCCTAGAGAAATGCTGTAATGGGGTAGCTTCAGGTGTTCAGTGTATTTCACACACACTGAATGGATGTTGATGGGCTTTGTTTGCTTGCCTTTAACATGAGAGAGAGCAGCATATTTTCTCCTGCACCCAAAACCTCTGCTGGGTGAAGGATTTGATACGTAATTCAGTGTCTTCCATGAGGGCACTTGCCGTGGGATTGCTGGTTTTCAGGAGGGATTTATTTGGGGTTTGGTTTTGTGGTTGTTGGTTGTTTCGGGGTTTTGTTTTGGGGTTCCCCCCCCCCCCCTTCCTTACTTGGGGTTGTTCAGGGGTTTGGGGGTTTGTTTTCTTTGCTTAGCTGTTTGTTGGGTTTTTTTCTATTGCTTTTTTAGATGCAGATATTCCAGTGGAGAGCGACACAGATGATGATGGTCCTCCACGAATCAGTCTGGCCGAAATGCTAGAGGATCTCCATATTTCCCAGGATGCTACTGGTGGGGAGGGAGCAAATATGATGACAGAATAGGAATAGTGCATTAGTCAATGCAATAAATATTCCCTTAGTGGGGAAAAAGTACCCAAAACATCAGTAAACGTTACAAACTGATCACATGAACATGAAGAGTAATGTGATAACTACCACTATACCCCTAGATAACGGTCCTAAATTAATATTTTATATATAATCTTCTGGAGAATCAGCAATTAAAGTTAAATTTCCGGTGCAAGCATTGCAATCGAAGTTCCGCAAGTTCCTCCCATCCCTGAGCGCTCGCTCCTTGCAACTTCTGCAGTGCAGAGACCGGCTGCCTAACTTCAGGGTTACCCACCGGGAGTAATCACTGTCTTGTGCTGAAGGCAGCAGGTAGGGAAGGATGTCCAGAGGGAGAGGTTTTATTCTAGTTTGCTAGATTGGTGGGTAGGGTACCTGCCTACTGTCTGTTGCTTTCATTTCTTCACACAGGAAGGATTTTTCCTGTCTTAATCTTTTTGGTACAATGGTTTGAAGCCTGTTACGATATTTCTAGATTATTCGATATAAAGATATTTTGGAGAAGCTTAAGAAAGTATCTTCTGTTCCTTTGGTAAGGGAACTCCAAATACACGTTGTGTACACAAAAAAACCTTCCTTGTAAACTGAAGATGCAGCACTTGGTCAGAAGGATTGGAAACTTCTGTTAAGTGTAACGAATGTCGTATTGTACTATGTTCCATGCCTGTATCGGTGGATTAAAAGCAGTATGCATAATGTCTAATTAATACATCGGGTATGAACTATTAAAAAACTATCCAGCTATTTTTGGTCCATCGTTATTGAGGTAACTGGAAAATCAAATTTCTCTACTGCAAACCCAAAGAGGACATAAGTGGTGTAGGAGGAGTTACGTACTTCTATTCATCTGGTTTTAATTCACTTTACTGCGCAAAGGTGGTTCAACAGAAATTTGACCAAGATTTTATGTGCATATACATTTGTGTTAACTTAGTATAAATACAGCAAGAGTGAGTTTGCCACTGCGTTTTTTTTAACTTCAGGGAAAAAAAAAATGTTCAAAATAAATGGCATATGTAAAGGAGGGGAATACTAATAATGTAAAGTTGGAAAAACAGAGATGTGTAGGATTCATCTAACAGGGTACTCGCGATTCCTCTGTCAAGGATCTGTATAGCTCAAAAGAGAACGCGTAGTTTGTCGCCGCATGTGTGCTCACGAGGGAAATACACGTCGAAAAATGCGCTATTTCTCTGCAGCACGGGCTGAGGAGGTGTTGGGAGCACCCTCCCCTATTTCACCGTACTTGGCAGCTTTTCAAGGCCTCAAAGAACAGCTCAGAAATGATCAAGGCGTTAGCAGTGTTCAGCCCACTGCCAGGTGAGAGGAAGTTTGGCCTTATTCTTTAGCTGAGATGTAATCTCTTGACATAAGTGTTTCCAAACAGGTGTGAATCTGCTGGATTGCAGGCTTCCTGTCGGAGCCCAGGCCGTATGCTGTAGAAGGCAAAGGGATTTTTGATTGTAAAAGGTGGAGCTAGGTTTAGTTACCAGTTACTCATAACTTTTTTTTTTTTTTAATTCTGTCTCATAATCTTGTAATCATCCATTTGTAAAGGGGGGAAAATGGAAATTTGGAAAGGCGGTTTTGACGCAGCGCAGCTCTAAGCCGTCTGTTGGCGTTGTTAGCAGCTCAGCCATCCCTTAATGCCATCTTTTGCTGTGTATTTGCGTCGCGCTAAGCTCTTCTGCTTCCATTCTCGGGAGCTTTGTCGTATTTTTTTACTGTGTAGAAGAGCAGTTAAGAAAAATCCGTAAAGCTGCCAAGAACTCGAGGTACAATTTATCTCATGACAGTAACTTAGTTCAGTATAGGGAAGGCATGAAACCACACTTAAAAAACATTCATGAGAACGCAGCTGCATAGCTAACCTGAATTATCGGTACAATAAAAAAGTTGTATGATAGATATTTTACAGTAGCTACACCTGGCAGTAGTGCTGGGGAGATGTAGATAAACTCAATTCTAGTGACCGTGGGGCCAAATCTGTGGAAATTAAAGAACTTTAATTTGTAACCTGTAGCCAGCGAATGCATTCTGTGTCCAGAGATGCAGTTTGGGTTGTGATTTTTCTGACAGAGGCAAAAATGATCAAGCCTTTACCTTATATAGTTTGGTCATAAGCTTCCCGTTGTTGGCAGGTGAAGGGGGAATAATAAAAGCTTGGTTCAAACTTCTCTTTTGATCCATCCTTTTCCTTCCTCTCGAATGGTTTCCTTCATAGTGTCTCTAATTTCAGATGTATTGCTGTCTTGTCTGTCATCCTGTGTGTTACCGGAGACGTCCCCCTTCCTTTTTCCCCCCGCCGTGGTCTGTTGCCAGTCTGCGTTAGGCTTCAAGCATCTTTCAGCAAGAGTCTCGTCTGGAAAGATCTCATGCCACAGAGGCTAGGCAAACAAGTCATAAATCTGAGTATATTGCCTGGCTTTTTGTGCGTTTGTTTGCTAGCTGGTAGCACATAGTAACAGCTCTCCAGTGAGGGGGTAAGTGGTGTGTACCTGAAACCACAGTGAGTTCTAATTTTAGGTTCTCGAGGTTAAATGGTTGGAAGCCAAAGGAGATTAGCCAGAGAGAGCCAGAAGAGATTTGCGTACCAGCAAATGAAATGTTTGCCGAGATAAGTAACCTGACAAAAGGTCCTTAATTCACAACAGATAAAAGGCTGCCACTTACCCTGCACCTCTTTCTGAAAATCTCTCTCGGCGGATCGAGCCACAGCTTAAAGCTCCTCTCCTTTTATACATACAGAAGTTGCTTCAGGATTTTAAGTCAGAACTCTTTCATGATTAACTTGCACCCAGGTTTTGATGGAATTTTGA